CTTAACATTTGAAACTTGCGTATTGTAGATCCAACATGATGTTGCATGGTGGGGTATAATTTTATAACAACAGAAAACAGAAAACAAAAGTTGATCTATAGGAAATGACAACAACCTAAATCATAATGTTATTGCAACATGATACAGAGTTAGCCACTCAAAAAACAAGACTCAGTAGATTTCATTCATAGATGGAGGAATTAAAATCAAATATAAAATTAAACACAAGCTTTATTCATGCAGAATTCCCAACACTCTTTACCTGAATGGTGCCTTGAACAATTTGAGATGGAAAGCAGTTGATGTTCACAATCAAAATGCATTCTGTTTTGTGAGATAATTGCGGAGAAACAGTTGGATAATGAATTTGTTATGTAGAAGAAACATTATGTTTTTCTTTTTAACTTAAAGCACATCCCCCCTTTTTCCACACTGGTTAGGGAAATTATTAATCCTTTTACATGGCTTTAAAAGAAGACCTCCAGAGCAGTTGTAAATAACTATTCATGCAAATTTACCATCCAACTTCGTTGGCTCGATCCATCATAGGTCCATGACCTTGCCAAAATACCAATATCTCACTTGAACACAGTTGACTTTCTATTCTTTTTGAGGTGATAATGCTGGCTCCTAGAACTATACTTGTAGCAGATTTGTGTTTTGATAGAAAGAGAAGTATTATTAAGAAAATAAACAGAGGAATATTTTTACTTTTCATTCAGCTGATATATTATCTATTGCTTTTTTCTCTTGTAATGTTTGCTGTTCTTTCTCAATAATACTTTTTTTTAATTAAAAAAAAAGAAAGAGAGGAACACAAAGATGGAGAATAAGATGTCCTCCACTAAAACCAGAAAAAGAAGTAAAAGAAGTACTTCAATGAGAAGCAGTCATCCGGTGGGAGACCAAAATAAATGCAGTGATTTGAGAGAACACATTTAATAAGGGTCAGCCTATTCCCCTTTGTTACTCTATTCTTCTAGCTAGAACATTTTGTCTACTGCTCAATAATGGGATCAGAAATTCTTTTTGCTTTAATCTTTGCACCAAGAGAAAGGTCAAGATAAGTGACTTTGCTTTAAGGATTTGTGCAAACTCTTCAGTCTTGTACTCAATTCCCATGGGAGTATTTTTGTTTCCTTAGTTAACTTTTGAGATTGGAAACTTCTTGTAGCCATAGAAAGATCCCGTTTAAGTTCATTAATGCTTCTTTACCTGATTTCATGAAGAGTACAAATTTATCTGCAAACATCAAATGGAAGCTCTCCCAATTGACCCTGTCTTGGTCAATAGAGAGGTAAACAAAGAGAAGCACTTCTTTGGGCTTTGATAATAAGAAACATTGAGGCTTCTGTGGCTGGCTTTCTCCTTCCTTCAAGTTATGGGAGAATTTTATTTCTTTTCTGAACACTTCAGCGCCATGAACCACAAGATCCAGGGTTTAGGCTAGTCTCAACCATCCTTGACTTTCCTTACTGGAAAACAGAGATGCTTGTTCTTTACCTAAAAAGAAAAGGGTAAAGGGTCCATTTCCAATTGCCATGGCTTCATTTGACCTTGCAACATGCAGAGACAAAATTGCACTATGTTGTGCTCTAATCTCTCTGATGTCTTCGTTGATTTCATAGATGATCGCATCTATCTTCTCCCCCTCACTGCTCTCTCTTTTTTCTCTCTGTTCTATCTTTAGTGTTAAGTGTTTGGGGAGGAAAGATTTGGCAATTTTCTGCTGGATTTTTCCTGTGAAATATGCTCTGTAGTAAAATCAAGCCATAGTTAGTCAAGGAGAAAAGAGGCCAAATTTTCTGACAACCAGCCTTTGGCAAACAACTAAAAACTCAACAGTATGCCTGATGGTCGGTTTTGGCTGACATTGTGCTAATGAGAACCCAACTATCTAAAATGACTGTTTGTTGGAATTTATCTAGAATGTAACTTTGGTAGATATGTAAATTAGTTTTCAGACTCGTGGTACATTTGTCCAATTGATTTATGTGAGCTCGTAACTGGGAGTCATACCCCCTCGCCTATGAAGCCAAATTACAGGTTTGTAAGGGAATGACAATTACAAGCAACGCTACTCATTAAATCAGAACCAAACATAGTAATTGGAACTGGTAATGTAATGGTTATTATGTTCATACTTCATTTCACCTTTATTTACTGAAGGAAACATGCTCTAAGATTAATGTTAACCCTAAAATGCTCCTACACATGCCATAAAATAAGCACATTAACCATACAAGCATTATGGCAAAGACAAAGAATCATATATTCTACAAATTTAAAATGGGAGATCTCTCCTCCTCACCAAGCCTCTAAACAATCCTTCGTAGACCCTCAAGTCAGCATGCATCTAAGGACATCCATCAGTAACATAAAGGATGGAGAAAGAGTGACCGCTTGCCTCACATCTCTCTGCCAAGGAAACAAGATTTGACCTCACCATAATGATAATTGCAAAGAACACCTAAGATAAACACCCTCTAATCCACCCTCACCTATCATTGAAACCTTCCCTAAACATGAGTTTATCTGGAAACTCCCGATTTGCCCTATCACATGCCTTCTCAGAATTCAATTTAAAAACCAGCCATTTACCTTTTGAAATTTTAGACATCCTCTGCCTCTTCATTAGTGTAAGAGAGCTGTCTACGATTTCGGTACCCTTCACAAAGGCACATGCTTTTTCTCCGTTTTATTTTTATTTTTATTCTTCTTCCCAAATGTCTGCCCTTCTGTATTTCTCTTCTTGTTAGCTTGTGCTGCATCACTTTCTAGGCCATTTTATAGGATTACAGCACTAAACATGCACATATATATGTGTGTATGTGTGTGTTTATATGTACACATATACACACATGGAGATGCATATATATATATATATATCAATATACATAAAACAGAAAATGTTGCATTTTTTCCATGCAGGCTTTTTTCATGCGGAACGAGCAAGGAAGGTGAATCTCATTTGGTTGAGTGGAATGAGAGTGAAGGAGCCATTAAAAGAACGTATTCTGGTTTCAGAAAGCGTTCTTTAGGTGTTGTGACTGTTGTCCAGTTCGACACAACAAGGAACCGATTCCTAGCTGCTGGTGATGAATTCCAGATCAAGTTTTGGGATATGGATAATACCAACATGTTGGCAGCAGTTGATGCAGATGGAGGGTTGCCTGTTAGTGATGCATTTTCTTTTTGGGAAAAGATCTCCTTCTAACTATTATTTTTCAATACAATATAGATGAGTTTCAGATAAGTTTCTTTTTTAAAAAAATATGGATAAGTTGCCATTGTTTATTGTTAGTTGCATGTTTCCACTTGCAGGCTAGTCCTAGACTGAGATTCAATAAAGAAGGATCACTATTGGCAGTCACAAGTGAAAATGGTATCAAAATTTTAGCTAATGGGGAAGGTTTGCGTTTGATTAGGATGTTGGAGACTAGAACTATTGATAAAAATCGAGGTCCATCTGAGCCCATCAACTCTAAGGTAATTCTGAGCTTAAGTTGTACTGATGTACTTACTTTTGGATGTTTGGCTTCTTAAATCCATGATATCTTGGAAGGAAGCAGCTTATTTAATTTCTTAAAAGCATCAATTTTCATAAAAATGCAGCAAGAAGTATTAAAGTATGAACATCCCCATTTAAATGGGAGTCTAGGTAATTGATAGAATAATAGATACTTGAGTTCTAACATCCATGGACCATGATTGAATTAGTGGTGGCTTGAGTGCAGCTCAAACGGATTTTTATAATTAGTCTTTTAGGTAGTATATTCAAACGGATTTTTAGGTTGATTTTCTTGAGTTCTTTGCTATGGAATAAAAAGTATACATTCATTAATAGACATCAAGGAGGTGCAAACCCGTATATAAAAATATTTACATATCAATAAAAACATCAATAAGATTTCTGAAATTCTTTTTTTTTTTTTTTGAGAAAAAGATTCTTGAAATTCTCAAAAGAGTAAAGAGGATGACCCTTAATCAAAAAAGCTAAGATCTGAAACCAACAATCTTTAAATCTATCAAAGCCCCCTTCCTTGCCCTCAAAAGCTCTCTTATTTCTTATATATGGAGAATCTTTCCCTACCAACAATCTCCTATTTTTTTTAATTGTTTTAAAAAAAGCTCTCCCAATTCTTTCCTTTTTCACCACCCAAAAGATGGCAAGAGGGACAAGGCTGAGATGCTATTTTCTCCCACTGGTACCTTTCCACGCCAAATATCCTCCCTCATTGAGCTGGCCGTTACCTAATTAATATCCAAAATGCTATAAGCAAGGGTCCATAGTCTTCAAGCAAAAGAACACCACATAAGAATATGATTGCATGACTTCGCATCCCTTTTTACACAAATGAGATCCATTCACCAGAATCCTTCCCCTCTTGATAAACTTATTATCCAAAGTTATAATACATCATCTAACTGCCTCCTGTGCAGAAAAGGC